AAAGGGATTTGTATTGGCTATTATAATAATTTTTTTTCTCTCTTCTTAGTGGTTAGCTTACTCTATCGAATACGCTTTGGCGGATTATATCTATAAATGGTTTACAATGTGAGGTATACAAGATATGATTCAGCGTTATTTTAACACATATATCCCTTTTCGGGCTTTGTGTTTCTCTCCCCCTTCTCTTTTCTTCCTGTTACTTCGTTGTTGTCTACCTGAATTCTACATTCTATTGTGGAATATCGATCTACGCAGAATTCGGATTGCATCACTCTTTGGAAAATTACTTTACCACTATCTTATGAAGAAGACAATACATGATACGTTACCCCTGACCTATAGTCGGTAAAATGAGTAAATTCGCTTATCGGCCGCGTACCTATTGCCGTTTTTCGAATAAACACAGTTAATTGATGGACAAAGACATTTCGACTTAAATCGTTATGTTTTTGTTATTTGCGACATTTTCAGTTAACTACATGCGAAATTAGATCCCTCACTAGTAGGCGGGGGACACTTTGTAACCCGAAGGCACAATCTTCAAATAAGTATAACTTTTGTTTGAAAAGTTATTTTAAAAAGCAGTTCGACAATTTTGTTCTTTAACTCATCAAGTATGTACACAACAAATTTTGTGGAATTCTCTCCATTTTCGTTGTCCGGTCAAGAATTGTAGTGGAACTTTTTTTTTCGAATTTTCAAAAACTAATTCCAGATTCATCATTTTCATGTTAAAAAACTCCCAGATACCAAATTTCGTCGAAATCAAATTTTTTTCGCACCCCCCAAGTGGGGGTGCACCCTTTCGTGGTAGGAATCTTGAAAAAAAATTTTCAAAATTGGATAGGTCATGCCCGAAAACCTATTCAATGACGTGCTACCCATCTTTGCAACTCTTAAGGTTGCTGAGAAAAAAATTAAAGAAATCCAAACCACTCCTTTAGGGGAGGCTCCGAAACGACACACGTTGGACCCTCGATTTATTTCGAAAAAGTGCTTGTCTTGATCCCCTCTATCACCCAATTTTTTTTTCATGCGGTCATGTAACACCCTGTGTATTAAATTTGAAACAAATATAGCAAACGAGGGAAGTTAGTCATTTCGAACAATATGGGCTGATATGAATTTTTATAGTCTAAAACTGGAAAGTGCGATTTCATTTTTTATCCCTCGTCCAATTTAAAACTTGGGGGAGGAGCATGTAAATCCTAGCGCAGGTTTAAAGTTCCAAGAATTATTTTTGCATACAAATTTCTCCCTCTGTGTATAAAAATGGCCCGATTTTTGTCGAAACTTTTATCTTGACGAGTACAATTTATGTTAAGACACCGTATATACGAACAACGAATATATTAAATGATTTTTTAGGATTTATACAGGGTCGCTGATAAGTCTGGATACGGTCGATTATCGGCGAAAATAGACAAGGTTAAGAAATATGTTTTATGCAAAAGTTTTGGGGATCTTTAATGTCTACTAGGCAACAGTAATACTTTTAATTATACAGGGTTGCTCATAAAGGCGCGGCACACCAAAATTACATTTGTTTAAATGGAACACCCTGTATATTTTTCAATATTTCAATTCTTCTCTCAGTTTTTATCATCCATCGTTTTCGGGTTATCAAGTTTTGAAAATAAACGCTATTATTTTTCATTAATAATTGAACAAAAAACAATAGACAATTAATGATTCCAAACAATCATATCAAACTTCACAAACGGTTCTTTTCAGAACAACAGAATGTTTTCAAAAGAAATTCGTAATTTCATTAATTATTTTTCTTACATTTTAAAGCAATACCTTTTATTTTCTAAACTCGATAACTGAGAAACCATTGCATTTGGGTACATTATGCTTCTTACAAATTATATTCAAAATTGAGAGAAAAATTGAAATATCGAATAATATAGGGTGTTCCATTAAAAAAAGCAATATTAGTGTGCCACGCCTTGGTGATCAACCCTGTATAATTAAAAGGATTTTCAGTCTAATTTTCTCTTGAAAACCTTGCAACTACTGTGGCAGTTTAAAAAAACAAAAACAGCAATAGGTAAACCACAAGCACAATATATTAAAAGATCGAACGCGTTTCAATAGTAAAGTTGCCATCATTAGCGAACAAAGTGAAAGTTTACTAGCACGGATTGGCCTAAAGGACTTCCTTCATCATTATTGATTAAAAATCATTCCTTTTTCGGAATTTCTAAGCTCATATCAATTTAAGTTTCCTTTACTATCAGGCAAATATCATACACTATATGTTTATTTTCAGCGGCACCGTTAAATTTATCGCAACGATGATTATTAAAGTGAGTCAATTGGCCCATGTGAATAAAAGTGAGCAAATGCTTATACTTGAAAAATTCAAATTAAATACTCGTAAGTGCTCCTTCACACTGGGCAACTTAGCGGCGCTGCTAAGCAGATGGACAGGACGCAGTGCAGCGCTGCTAAACAAACCAGTATAAAGGGGCACTTACGAGTATTTACTTTGAATTTTGCAAGTATAAGCATTTGCTCACTTTTATTCATACGGGCCATTATGTGAGAAATTCAATAGTATCTGATATCAACAACCAAATTTCCTCGCAAATTTCAGTGATTCAAATTCATACGGATTTATTGGCGGATCAGGGATCCAACACACCTAATCGTCTTGTAGGCTAGTTACCACAAGCCTGCTGCTGCTCTTGACTTGTTACGACAAGTAGCTAATAAACAACAATACGTTAAATTTAGTTAAAACTACACCGGGAAGAGATAAATATTTTAATAATTCAGAGAAATAACTGAATCTAGGGTTACGTGTATTGGAAAAAGCTCTCAGAATTTTACTAGGCCAACGTTTTATTAGTTTCATTTCTCAGATAGGTATAATATACTTAACAACCCGTATAATCACACATTGCATAATCATAAATGTATCATCAAATGGATTTTTATGGTAACGGCATTAGGGCGAGGAACGTCATTAGCGTAATAATAATAATAATAATTCATATGATGCTCTTAATTTCACGGATGCGAACGTTAAGTGGTAATAATAGTTATAACCTATTACCTTCTATCAACTTTTGTGTTCTAATATATACGTTTATTTTGATTACAATAAATTAGAACGATTTTTCCGACGCCACCTTTCCAATACTTAAGCTTTTCCATCGAATTAAGTCGCGGCAACATGAAAATAATAAAAACTCAATCTGCTGTGGGTCAAACGGATACCGAAAATAGACAACCGAAGCGAGAGAGAATTTGGTTTTTCCTGTCATCGCATTTTGATCGGAAAGAAATGTCCATTTCCGTTTCCGCGATGACGTGTTTCATTTTTAGTTTTCAAAATCGCGCTTTAAATAAAATGGTAGATTTGAGAGCCATTATTGAAACATTTTGCGCTTTCTTTTATTTAGATTTACGATGTAAAGGGCTTTATATTTGGAATTCTCCTATTATTTGTAGATTTATTTTCTCGACGACCCTCCATGCTGAAGGGTTTTCTCTTTCTGCAAAAACATCATTAACTTCGTTTTATATTGATCGACGGAGATGGTTTGTGTAGGAATAATGAATAGAGGGGGTATTAGCTTAATAAATGATGTCTTATTCAAATCACTTTTGCTTATTGCATTTTCGACCGTACGATGCAAAAATGATACACAAACACTGATATCGAAATGAGTTGCGAGATCGTCCTAGGATGAGCAATCCGAAAATTAAACATTGTATAGTTTCTTTCTTAGCAATGAAAGCTAAATTTTCATAATAGAATTTTTTTGGAGACGCAATCTAAGAGAGCCGTATTGTTTGCATTTCTTTTACAGCAACATAAAATTTAGCTTATTGTTCTGTCATAAAAAGTTTGAATTATTTAGTACACAGAATTTTGATTATTTAAATTTATTCCTTATGGGCTCTTTATGGAGAATAAAAATGTTTACTAATTGAATTTTTTATTGGTGATATATTCGTATAGAATTCGACGAGCCTGGAATTTAATTACCTAATTTATCAGATTGTTTTCGGTGAGTTGTTAACTAGGGCACTGTATTTATTGTGGTAGTCGATTAATATTGCATATTTTATATGCGACGACACACTTTTAGTTATCTTTGATTACAATTGGGGTGGGGGTTGCATAGATACTTTTCGACAACTGCGCATATTTTATTACCACTCCCTTTGAAGTCAATGAATTTTGTCGTTTGTAGCAGAAAACAATGGCATTTAGACTGCTCACAGTGGTGAATCACACCAGTTCGAAGCTCATTTTCTTCAATGTCAGGGTGGTAGATGTAGTCATTAGATATTCTATTATTCAATACACCTGAATGTCGGAAATTTATAATCGCTACTCCCCTCCAAAGTCTGGAGATCAATGATCCACCCTCCGCCCCACTGTTCAACGTTGTAGGATCGTTAACCTCTCCACATTGAATCGTATGACATTTATTCTTCGTTCACCCAACAGAAATAGTTAAGCCACTCCTACAAAATGTGGGCCAATGTAAGCAGCAACCAGTTTTACAACCACAAAATTATAAAAAGCGGAAAATTTGAAAAATCAAATTGAAATGTCACTTGCTCAAGATTATCTATCTCTCTGAATATAAGTCGTGGCAAAAATAGTAAAACCTGCAAACTGTTAAATACATGTAAATATGCAACATAAAAACACTGTTTATATTGAGAAAAGTACAAAAAAGTATTATTACAGCAGCACAAAGTTTTGAAATTACAAGTGCACTTGAATATAAACAAAGGTACATAACAATTTACATCCTGTATCGCTTCACTCGGATTCGGACTCCGTTGACGTCGAGTCATCTCCCACATGAATTACTAATGGCTCCACTACGATGTCCATTAAAATGTCAATTTGCCACATCTTTTCCTCTTCACTTTGAGCATGGCGAATTGCGTTCTTCCAATTGCTTGAAGATATTTAAAATGCCAGTTTTGTCTTCAACTGAAAAGTGCTTGGCAGAACGTTTTTTCGGTGGAGAGAAAGCAGCACCGGCGACATTCATGTTTGCGTACAACTTTTCTTGATCGCGAATAATATAACCCTAAAAACAGGCATGTAAAAATCGTGTATAAAATTTTATAATTACTCACCTGACTATCTTTAGAATACACCGACGAGTCTTTATAAAGACTATTTTGTGTGAATAAAGGAGATTAATGGCAAATTGACGCAAGTAAAGATGTAAAAACGTAAAAACCGGCAGAAACGCAATAGGCAAGATGACAGATTACCCAATTCGGCCAATTCGCTTTACAAGTGTGATTGTGGCTTCAAAAATTACACCAATAACAATGTCGTATTCAAATGTGGCGGTAATTGTTGAGGAGGGGCTTAACTATTTCTGTTGGGTGAACGAAGTATAGTTGGTTTTCAATGCCATACGTTCGTTAACCTTCGCAATTAAGGTCGTTAACCTTTGTGACCTCTATTTAGTTTTCAAAGTCACTGCTAGAGAACGAGGCAGATGACCTTCAGGAGATTTGAAAATCGTCTTATGGGATTTTACATGGAGTTGAGTTAGTATCGGCTATATATGGCTACTATAAATCTTCAGGAGTTCCAACACTTTCATATACATACTAAAGCCAAGCGTTTGGACGGATGTAATTAGCAAGCACTTCTGGTTGCATACGAAACTTTCGTATGGCATGGTGTATTCCCATAAAGTTACTCCTGGATATAATGCAGAAAATTACTGTAAAATCAAGGGTACCTGTAGTTTTTGCGAATCATACGAACTACGGCTACTCTGCAGTTGAGAATTCTTTTAAGGATTTGAAGCGTGTAATTTTCCGAAACAAGACGTTGCCGCTCAGACTAGACGATTTCATGCTTCATTATAGTAATTCTCTTGAGGGGTTGATGAAACATGTTGCATGTAAAAATATACATTTTCGTACTTCCGGGACTAAAGTGACAACTTCACTCCATTATGACAAGTACTGAACTGTCACTTTTTGTCCCGCTGGGATTAATTTGGACGAAAATCCCGGAAGGATGAAATTACTAACAAGGCAATTTCAGTAGGTTGTTCCACATTTTGTATGCGGCACTACTTATTAAACGCATCGTGCTGCTGCTCATGTAGTTTTTTTGATTTCGGTGGTATCAATTCTTTACCTACTTTGGCTGTTTTTTATCAAAATGAAATACACCTTTGTCACCCACGACCAAAATTATGACACTACCAATGACAGTTTCCAAATTATTTTTGTTACCATTTTTTCATTTTTCGTACCAACGCAACGTTCTATGGTAACTTGTTAAGCAGCGATTTTTTGAAAGAACGCGTTCTCTAACTCCATACATATTAAGTGTTTCAGTTTCGGAAGTACGAAAAATATCGTATATACCTTGCGACTGAAGTAGTAGTCTTAATCCCTCAGGTAAATTATGGCCCTCCCTTCGGTCGAGCCATAAACTTTACCTAAGGGATTAAAAGTGCTACTTCAGTCCCGCGATATATAATATACTATTAGACCAAATGAAGATAAAGGAACGTCGAATATAAATGACAAGGCGAAATTGGGGATTGTTGCACGCGAATTCCACACAACCAGGAAAATTATGTGTGTGACCCTTTTATTGATATAGCTCAAGCCTTTGATCGAGTGTGAACCAATAGTCAGAAAAGCTAAATCTTACTACTTCAAATACCCGACTACATCAAATCACATCCTCCTTAGAAAACGCAGTTTCGCAGTCAAAATTCATGCATCCCCATATCCTCTATCAAAAATATACATGTAGGGGTCACTCAGGGTAGTATCCTAGGCGCAATCCTTTTCAATATCTCCATGCAGGACTTTCCTACGCAGACTTTGCAATGTAGGCAGACGACACAGTCATAATGACTAACGATAAATGCTTGGAAATGGCTAGCTCTAAACTACCAGACACCAGCACTATTCTCAGTAGATTGTTCCAGACCATTAATTCTGACAAATGTGTTACAAAAATATTCACACACATTGTAGCGTTGCTATATAGTGCGGCGGCAGACCCCAGAAAAGGCGCTTAGTTTCCGAGGTACCTAATCAGTGGTACAAACACATGTGTCATATATCAAATTATGCGGAATAAAAAGTTCTATTAGATCCATATAGTATAGACGTCGGCTGTTGATCGAGTCAAAAGATATCCGCCAAAAACCTCCAAAAAATGATCAATTTTGTCTGACCTCTCTCAGCGAATGTTTATTTTTATATAACGGTCACAAAAATGCATGACAAGTCCGGGATTTACTTGCAGTCCAGTATCCTACATAGCCAAAAATAATTAAAGGCTGGTTCAGTTGTGACTTGCACATTATTATCCAATACGCGTGCATAGTTATGAACCGCACAGATCCTATAGGTTGATGCGTTTTTTTTTAAATGGAACTTAGAGAAACACCATTGCAATGCAAAATTGTATGTTCCAATGAAGATAAACGCACTGTAAACTGTATACCTTGACAGCATGCTCACGTGGAACGTGGAAGTACCATGTCCTCAAAAAACTACATAACGAACACACGAGACTAATCCAACTATACATACCCACTTCTAAATCGCAAGTCCGGTATACTTCCTTAATGCACCACTATCCTGTACACTTGTACAGGGTGGTTCAAGTTCGTGGCGCACCAGTGTAGGTTAAATGGGGAAAAGGTGGTCATTTTTGTGACTAAAAAAACGCTTTTGAAATTTCTTCGTGCTTCCGTTCTTTTTCACAAAATCGTAACCTTTAAGTAACTTTTTCGCACAGATGTACATAACATTAACATTCGCCGTAAAGACCAATAACCATTCCGCAGCATAAAAAAGGAATATTTCAAAGGTCATACTTGTGCGAGATTGCTCATGTATGTCATGCTTTGGCAGCTGATGTAAAATGATATGTACCAGATAAATTCAAAATTAGTGTTCGTCGACTCCTCCTAAAAACATAATAAATATGTAGTATATTTCCGTGTTAAAAACAATTAACAACTTACTTTGTAAACCACATCTTAATTGTATCAATGTCTTGTTTGTTGAGTTTTAAATGTACTACTCTTGTATGTGTCATGACCTGTCTAATTAAATATACTAACATAAAATAAATGAAGGGTTGAGTGGAAGAGCAGACACGGATGATATCCCTGTCTGAACTCCGCCATTTAGACAGGTTCTGTGTAGCAAGTGTCTAATAAATTTATTTATTGTTATTATACACTGCAAGTATAATAACAGTATATTATAAACCGAGGGACTAAAATGTGTGTTTTAATCCCGAGGGTGCAGATTGTTGCCCGAAACGTAGTTGAGTACAATGCAAAGGTGTTTAAACGATTGCGACGTGAAGCGGCGTATAGGTACAAGTCAAATTTTTACTAATCGTCTTGCACATGATAAATATCCCCAAAACAAAGCGTAAGCAGGTGCTTGACAATGAAAACAAAGCCCTGCTGAATGTCACCCTGCGCAGTGGCGGATTTACATATAGGTACACAAGGTACGTGCCTAGCTTTAGAGGGCGGAATTTTTTGCACTATATGTATTTTAGGTATTTCAAAAAAGTCCCCCTAACAAGTTACAAATGGAAAAAATATTTAATTAAAATTATGAAATAAATTGGAATTGGTAGATAGTTTAAACAAACTGTAAGAACGATAATCGACAATTCAAGTTTTGACTTGTGTGAAAACTTAATCTTAGGTATCCTGTATTTCTTTCCATATTAGTTTTAAAAATTTCAAGTTATAATGTGATTTTTATTAGCAATATTTATTGCAATTTAAAGATTATTTTTGGAGAGGCGCATATCTTTCGGTGTGCCTAGGAGCGCAAAAAATTTAAATCCCCCACTGCCTGCGCTGCACTTGACTAGATTGATGCTCCGGAAGAAAAAAGTGTCGTTGGGCCCGTATAGCAAAAATGTGCAATATTATTGATGACTTATTCTCTCCGGATCGATATAGTAGCTGTATATACTTCCATACTTGTATCTATCTACATCGGGTAGGCTTCATTGTTTTAATGAGTTTTTAGCCTGAGACACATACAAGATAATGTATAGGGGTGGGTGTAATCTATTTCAGCTTTGCAGAAAAATAACTGATTACTCGCAGTTGGAAATAACGGCATCTCACGAAAGATGCGAAATAGTAATGGGGCTAGGATTTTCCTGCCACGACAAATTGCTTTTTGGCAATGTGCGTGTATATCTTTGTTCAATTATATTGTAGTTAATATAAAAATCTGATGAAATGTTGTCGGATTGTTGCGTGAGAGCTTCTTAGATGGACGGACATAGATTGCTTTCAGCTTAATACAAAGAATTTAAATAGTGCAATACACGAACGGGATTTTCGATTATATACGCACAATTACCTTGCACTTCTTCCTAAAACATCAATTTTGCGCATATTGTGTTACAGAAACTAATCTTTAGCACCTCATAATAAACAGAAACACTGATAGGAGTAAGTTTTGCCTTTTGTGCCATGCCGTGTTGTAACGGAGTAACACCTAACCACAATTGAAATTGAGTTTTTTTTAATGCGAACATAGGAGTTTGCATGCAATGTAATTTCCCTATGTTCGATTTAAAAAAAAACACATCAATCTATGAGGTGTGCGCGGTTCACATTCACAAATCGCGCAACTTGTGTGACTATGAACAGCAACTCTATAGTCTTGATGATGAAGAGCGCTCGGTAAGATTCTTTTTAAAGAAGCCATGTGAGGCCATAGCAACTTTAGGATAAATGTTTCTTAAACTTACGATAACTAGACCTCACAGGGCACGCGCTAACACCACAACTCATTGTGAATCAACCTTCAAGTATTTGTAGATCATGTGCACCTGGTATTACTAATTTGATCTATTCAATACATAAATGAAGAAAATAAGAAAATAAATAACGAAAACAACTACAATAAATGTTCGAAGTGTCCTCCTTGACATTCTAAGCAACAACCTAACCGATTTCGTAATTAAATTGGACGACGGTATTTTTAAAAATGTGACAGCGGTCAACTACTCAATAGATTGATGTGTTTTTTTTAAATCGAACATAGGCAAATTACATTGCATGCAATGCAAACTCCATGTTCGCATTTTAAAAAAATTCACTGTATGTAATACCATAAGTAGTGGAAGTATTGTCGAATATTCTTGAGGTGCTGTCACGAATGCTTGTTACCACGAGCGCTTGCTACCTATCTTTTGTGCTCCAAGCTAATTCGTTATGAGTGATCAAATTAAAAGATGTGGTCTCGGATGTGGTTATAAGTCGGTTGCCGAAATTAACAAATTAAGAAGAAAATTCGGGTTAATACGAAAAAATTTGACGACATTTCACTGGTCGAAGTTTGACAGATGTCATTGAAT